TTCTGAGCTAAATGATTCGTTGGAAATAATTCTGTATTCCAATTTGAATCCTAAATAATGGTGTGAAATACTAAATATCAATGTGATCCCAAATATTATAGTGATCTTAAATAATGTAGCGATCCTAGTTATTGTTGTCATTTAGTTCAACAACACTTTTTCAGTCTTTCTGAGCTAGATAATTTGTTGGAAATAATACTGTAATCGAATCCTAAATAATAGTATGATATCCTAAATATTGATGTAATCCCAAATATTGTAGTGATCTTAAATAAAGTAGCGATCCTAATTATTGTTGTCATTTAGTTTAACAACACTTTTCAGTCTTTCTGGGCCAGATAATTCGTTGGAAATAATTCTGGATTCCAATTTGAATCCTAAATAATGGTGTGAAATACTAAATATCAATGTGATCCCAAATATTGTAGCTATCTTAAATAATGTAGCGATTCTAGTTTAACAACACTTTTCAGTGTTTCAGAAGTTATTTAGTTTAACAACACTTTTCAATGTTTCAGAACTGGAGAAAAAAAAATTCTTTCGTTCGTAAACTTCAAAAGGGGTTATAAAACTCATCAAACATGCCTCCAATCCTTTCCTAACGAAAGTCCATAAACGCTCAGAGAAAACAGCAATCGAAACTTTCTCAAAAAAGCTCATTAAGATGCCAAGGGGTAATATACCGACCAACGACTACACTTTCGAACATTATCGAGATCTTGGAAGAAAAGAAAAAAACACAAAGCAAAACATCACCGTCGGCTTAATATAGGTTATTAGGAACATCTTAAACAACAAGATTCTCGGCATCGAGGATTGTAAAAAAAGGAACAACCTTTTAAAGCTTTCTCCATCCTGTTGGCAACGCTTAGAATACAACACTAACAAAGGAGTATATACAGAAAAATATGTTTCTTATGTTTAAAGGTGAGCCAGTATGTTAAGATCGTGCCGTTGTAGATGGGATTATGGCCATTGCAAAAAACTAGCGAATAATGTTCCTTTTTTTTTCTGGGAAATGTAGGCAATTGAGACTGTTTCCACGCAGAACTTTTTTTTCGCATCCGTTTACTGCGAATTGCAATTTGGAAGTAATTACACAGAAGGGGTTTAAGCAGGCTGTTTATGACTTTTTTTAAGTTAACGAGGATTCTCATCTATCTTCATTCATTATGTTTAAAAAAAATAGGAATGATAGTTTGATGTTGGATAAGAATAAAGCATGATTAATTATGTTATGTTTTTGATGGGATTATTGCACTCAAATAAATGCAATCGTTTATGTTTTGAGATATCGTAAACGATTCCCAATTTTTAAAGTTTACGTTAAAAGTCAGTATATTAAATGTTTGATCGGAAATGCATGAGAATAAAAAGCAATAAAGTTTTACTGTTTCGCAATATTTATTTGCTTTTTTAAAAGCTCTTCACGATATAATGATGATAATACAAAGTATATACTTATTGAATGAATAAGAAATGAATAGATGCACATTTTTGAACCTTGCTTATGCAAGTTTTTTTTCTACGAGTACTTTTTTTGCCTAAATTAATTATTTTTTTACAAATAACAAAATATTTTTTTACCATTAAAAGGAAACACCTCACCAAAAATAAGTAAATTGCAAATTTACCCTTTATATGCTTACATAATATTTAATTACTTTCTACCTGTATGCTTTTTAAAAAAAATTTTATTTGAAATCGCTAAAATGTTAGTTGAAATTGTATCATCCAATTAGTAAAATATTACTTGTGCACCGGATTCAACGGATTCTTGTAACCAATAGTAATCAATATTGCTATTGGTTACAGGAATCCGTTGAAGTCGGTAATTCATATTCTGTCTGATCCGCGGTAGCCAATAAATCCCTTCAGATGCAAGAACAGCATAAAATATTCTTTACGGCTAAACAATTTTTCATATTTTTGTTTGTTACTTAATGCTTTTAAAATAGCCTTATAATGCCTTTAAAAATAAATCTATGACCACGAATAATGTGGCCACTTTTAAGAAGAATTAGCCTACATAAAGAAAATTTAGCATCACTGATACCGTGGCTACCAGTGGTATGAATAAAACTTCACAAAATGAAATTTCGAATAATAGATAATGTGACTATATTGATGTGTATATAGTAAAGAAAATAAATAGAATCACTGATACCGTGGAAATCGTTTATGATAATTATGGACGAGTTTAAAATAAATTTAAAACTAGCGAATACAGTGACCATCTATCTAGGATTGACTAGAAAATCTAGGATCGCTAATACCGTAGCTACAGTGGTATAAATAAAACCTCAGAAAATGAAATTTCTAAATACAGATAACTAGGCTATCTTGATGTGAATATAGTAAAGAAAATAAATAGGATCACTGATACCGTGGAAACTGTTTATGATAATTAGAGGCGAGTTTAAAATAAATTTAAAACTAGCGGATACAGTGACCATCTATCTAGTATAGACCAGAAAATCTAAGATCGCTAATACAGTAGCTACCAGTGGTATAAATAAAACCTCAGAAAATGAAATTTCTAAATACAGATAACTAGGCTATCTTGATGTGAATATAGTAAAGAAAATAAATAGGATCACTAATACCGTGGAAACTGCTTATGATAATCAGAGACAAGTTTAAAATAAATTTAAAACTAGCGGATACAGTGACTATTTATCTAGGATCACCAATACCAGTCGTATGAATAAAACCTCACAAAAATAAATTTCTAAACACTGATAATGCGACTATCTTGATTTGAATATAGCAAAGAAAATAAACAAGATCACTGATACCTTGGAAACAGTTTATGATAATTAGAGACGAGTTTAAAATCCCAGATAGCATGACTGATTGTTAATAACGGTCCTGCAAAATTAAATCTAAAATTACAGATACCATGGCTAATGTTGATGGATCTAAGCACTGAAATTGCAGCAAATAGATTGATTTCCTGTTTGAGATAGATTGATTTCCTATTTTTGAAAACAGACTTCATTAAACTGTTGGTCTGGTCTACTCCGCACGCTGAATTAAGTATAACTTTTTAGTTTCCTATCTACTGCCAAAGATTGAAACAGAGAACTCATTGACAAAATCATACAGAACATGACGTGTTACCGTAATGCAGGTTAGAACTCAATCAGTTTTCTATTGAATTCCCGACCAATAATAACTAAATTATTCTAATTATTTAACAAAAACATGACACATTTATTATTACACAATAAGACGATTCATATACAATTAAAGCTGTCAAGAAACGATAACAAAAATTTGTACGTCTGGAGAGTCTCTATGGGTTGATTGACTATCAACACAAAAAAAAAATCGAATCTATTATTGAAAGACGTTCTACTTTCGCATTTTAATGAGCAACAAAAAAAAACTGTATCTTCTAAAAAAGCTAATCAAATGAAAATGCAAAAGATAGTGAAAATGTAATGAATTCTTCAACTCGACAGCTGAGGAGCTCTTTCATTTTGACCTAATAATGTCACTCCGGGTGAGAAAAGTGAGCTTCAAGCGGCAGACGGAAATTCTTTGTTTATAAAACTGAGAGTTGATGGATTTGCATTTTATATCATTTGTATTTTTCTAACACGCTTTTACGTTAACTAAAAGAGGTAAAAATCGTGATGTGAGTTTAATGGCTCTTGTATTTCGTATTAGTGTCCGCAGCTGTTTGTGTGATAACACAGAGCTTTGATAAGACCTGTTGTGCTATATTTCACTATCAGATTAAATAATGTGAAGAAAAGGGAAATCTTAGCTCAAAACAAGATTTAGAAAGCTAAATTTTGTTGTGAATTGCCGGAGGTAGTACATTTTATGACAATAAAAAATTTAGCACATTTACGTTTAAAATAACCCGTTGAAGCAGAATTTTTATAAAACATATTTTTCCTACTCTTTTCATTATTCTGTATTAGTTTAAGTCGAAATAAATAAAAACTATTATAATTATCATTTCAGTAATTTATGGTTTTGAAAACAGCATGAGTCACCGGTGTCTTTTTCTGCGTTATAGGTAAAATCTTCAACATGGCTCACTTTATATCCTTATTACAGGGCTCAATTTTTATAATTTGCTCTAATTTAGATCCAAGAGGAACAGGTAATCCTCATTGATATTTCTTTAATTTACGAAATCAATTATTGATAAATTTTCGAATATGAATGAAAAAGAATTTTTTTCTAACTACTTTTTTCGGATCTTATATTTTAACACAAATATTATTCCGATCATGTAGCAGATTTATTTGACTTATTATTAGTCTGTTTTTTATAATTAAAAAGTGTGAGAGTAAAAGTAATAAATTTTTCAAAATGACAAAAGTCGAGACAAAGATTGCTTGTGCAATTTTATTTTTTATTAATTAACGACTATATTTTAATGCAAATATTATTCCGATCATGTAGCAGATTTATTTGACTTACTATTAGCCTGTTTTTTATAATTAAAAAGTGTGAAAGTAAAATTCATAAACTTTTCAAAATGACAAAAGTCGAGACAGAAATTGCTTGTGCAATTTTTTTTTTATTAATTAACGACTATATTTTATTACAAATATTATTACGATCACGTAGCAGATTTATTTTACTATTAGCCTGTTTTTTATAATTAAAAAGTGTAGAAGTAAAATTCATAAATTTTTGAAATTGACAAAAGTCGAGTCAAAGATTGCTTGTGCAATTTTATTTTTTATTAATTAACGACTAATGCATTATTTATAACGACATTTAAAGGACTAGTGAAAGAACTTATTTAAACGATTATAACGACAAAGTGTGTTTTAATTAATTTAAATTTGCATCTATTTAAGTGGTTAATGAAATTTATTTATACCAATTGATATAGGAAATAGTCCATAACATTTCATTAAAAATGTTAAAGTATAACTCATAAATCTTTGTAAAATTGCAAAAGTTGTGACAAAAATCGCTAATAATTTTATTTTTATTTGAACCACAAATAAAAAAAAATCATAACTTACTTCCGAACATTCAAAGATGTCAGCGGAGTTTCCTATAAACCTATAAAATGGCCGGAAAAGTATACTGACAGGCGCAAACTAGCCTTACCGAAAAAACCGCAAAATTATAATTTTCAGCTCATCCTTTAACAACTTATGCGTAAAACAATTCCGTTTCTCCAACGAAAAACCCCAACAAAGTAAACCATTTCATTCCACTGACGTTTCCTGTAGAAGTTTCTATTGTTCAAACACGTGTTTTTCGTTGAACACTTGTTGCAAGGTGAATGAATCCGATACCATACGTGATGAAATTTGCTAAAATTGTTGAAATTTCAGGTATTGGTGGTATTAAAATAAAACTTACACATTCGGGAAAATTTCGTCAATTTGCACGGCCTTTCATGTAGGTATTCGATTTACTGAAGGTCGCATTACTGCAAGATGACACCAGTGTAAATTGGATAAAATTGCAGTTGTTTCGTCACTGTTTATTTTCTATATTTAAACATGTTTAAAAGTTGAATTGTTTGAATATTTCCTGAGTCTAATATGTGAAGAATTTGAAATTAGCCTATCAAATTCCTGGAAAATACAACTACACAAAATAGCTTGATAACAATGGGGAACAATTTTTTGCTGCATTTATGCAAATAATTGATCTTGCCTTTTCCGGGTATGGGGATTTCAAATAAGTTTTACTCCTCAAGCTACAGATTTTTTTTAACACGCTGAATGTTTTTAAAAAACCACTCTATAAAATATTTTGCAAAGAGTGTAGCAGTTGGTAACCCAGGACAAGAAGACCTGAATAATGAAATTAATTATCTCTTACAAAAAGTTAATTTTTTTGTTACATTCTTAATATTAATTTAATTTCCAATAAGATAGTTAAAATCTATTACACCGCATATACAATATCTGAAGCCCTATATTTAAACCTCCTATAGTTAACGCGTTGAATGCCAAGCTAATTTTACATGGCCTGCCCGTCTAGCCAAACAGTAAATATCTGCAAACTATAGTTGCAACTATAAGACAGATTTTGCAAGTTTTTTTAAAAGGTTTAGCATGATGCTGGATGCTGGATATTGGGGTTATCTCGGCGTTTGGCGCGAAGGGCCACTAACCGATTCATCGATTCTGTTTTGTTGTATTCTGGGAGGTCCTATATATCTTTGAAGTTGTAGTATGTTGTTTTTACAAGTCAAGTCCTTAAAGAAGTAAATCTTTAGTTTTGAAGGGAAAATCATCTTTGGAATGGGGAGATCCCCTTGAGTAGAGTTGTATGATAAAGTTAATAGTATTTTGATAGTATGCAGTCTGAGCATAAAAAAGGTTTAGCATGAAATGAATGGTGAATTATATAAGCCTACAAATTGCTTAGACATAATGGTGGATAAAAATCTACTCAATTGAATTTATTAAACCAAGAATCACAATTAATAAACTATCACTTGAAAAGATTTATTCGCTGTCAAGTTGGCATCTCTGTGTACATAAATAAAACTATTTTTGTGTATTCGATATTGCATTAATTTCTTCAAACCATTTTAGTAACGATAATAATATAAAAAAAATTAAAAATTTACTCGAATTATGTGTTTCTAATAATCTTGGCTTCACCGGTAACCCCCTTGGAGCTACGAACAAACTCAGGGCCGGTCACCGGTGACCCCTTAAATGACAATTTTAGTCTCTTTTTTGACGAAAAGTGTAAGTTTAAAACAGAGAGTCAAAAAATGCTGAGACCAACTTTTAGACGAATAAGAGCACATCAACAGGATTGAAATTGCATAGGAATCCATGCCCGGAAATGTAGCCATACGCAGCTAGGGGCTGTTTCTTCGTATGGTTCTGAACAGATCCTAATAGAGAAGTGCCATCGCCGCGTACTTTGACATTTCTAAGCACGGGTTAGGGAAGTTTTAATTCTGACGATGCGCCGTAACTACTCCCGACGTTTGTCGCAACACTTATGCGACCTTCTGTTGTGTATAACGTTTTTAAAGTTGCACATTTTGATAAAAAATTAACTAAATATGTCATTAAAAAACTAAAGCATGAAGGGAGAAACCGATTGCAGATTTGAAATCAGCGGTACGAAAATATTCGAGAACTGTAAACGAATCTCATGTAACTGAAAAAAATAATAATTTCCCAGTGCAATCTATTTTTATAAAATTCGGGAAACAATATTATGTTGTAATTAATATTTTTTCTCGAAACTGTCGGGTCAGAGGATACTTTATTTTGTTTGGTTAAAAAAATAGAAAAATTAATAACATTAATTAAAACTATTTAATAATTTTTGTATACCTAAAAACTAAACTTTTTAAATTTACAAAAAATATTAATTTTTTAAGACTTTTTTACTGAGCAAATTTTCTAGAAATAGTTATCTTTTGCCTTAAAAAGTTTATATTACATACAACTTTCATCTTACGGACTCAGCATAATTTTCTTAATTACAACTCTATACTATATGCAGTTTTAAAATTTCCAGATATTAATAAGTAATAATAATTATATGCCTAAACTACTTTAGTAGATGTTCGATTCTTTTTCATTGATATCTAATATGCTCAGTCGAACTTAATTTATTTATAATTTTATAACGTTTTTAAAAAAATATCTATAAAAGTATAGAATAAACTTTAAGTGGGGGAAAAGGTTGCACGCTATTGTCTGCTCGCTATCCTTTTTTTCCACGCAGGCTGCACTAGAAGTTTGGCTAGACAGGGCTGCAACTTTCTATGCTTTTAGGGGGAAATTTCCTTCAGTGGTACCTAAGTGTATGTTTTATGTATGATTCTCTGTCATAAAAATTTGAATTAAATCTGTTTTTCTTACCGCTACATCAAAAGTTTGTATGAAATGCCGATTTATCCCAGATCTTTCGTGTTGGTGCTTTTAAAATGTTGGTAAAAAATACAAAAAATTACTGAAAGCTTTAGTTTTTAATTTACTATCACTCTATAAAATATTTTGAAAGAAGTATAGCAGATGGCAACCCTTCGTAATATTGTAAACGGACTAGAAGACCTTAATAATGAAATGAATTATCTGTTACAAAAAATTATTTTCAAAATTTATTAAATATTCATTATTTTTCAATATAGAGTTAAAACCTATTACACCGCTGAATTACATTATCTGAAGCTCTATATTTAAACCTTTGACTACGAATTTTAAAAAAAGATTTTTTTTTGTCCCGTTTATTATTCAAAAGGACAAAATAGGTCACTAATAAGGCAAATTTAGTATTTAGGATTTTTCTGACAATCGGTTATCAAGTTAGAGGTTGGGACATATATGTCCCGGCCGTACTTAATGGTGGGATACACACGTCCATTAGTAATTTTCAAACATTTATCCCAACAAATGAGTCCCATTAGTATTCAAAGGGCTAAGGTGTAAAACTCCTATTGTTAATTGCTAAAAATAATTACAATTCAGTGAAAAAAATATTCTAAAACCGTTTATTTAAAGTATTCCTCACACACTTTTTTAAAATTGGTCATTCAGACAAGTGAATTATATTGCAAAATAACAGTGCACCTCTATATGAGTTTTTATGCATGTGACAAAATTTATAAATTCAGCTTAAATATTGTCCCATACTTCTAATTTTTTTTCGTAATGACAACTCTTATCGTTTGAAATGTCTTGCTACGAATCTACAGCTCCGAACAAATATCCGATATAAAAAATGTACTGTTCTTCAGCTGNAAATTTTTAAAATTAAAATTTTTAATGTGAAGGTTGCTGCTGCTTTTCCTTACTTAACAAATTGATTTGGGGGATGGTTTTCAACAAAGCAAACGGGCATATCATATTCAACATTCAATCGATTTCGATGTTATGTTTTTATTGTCACAATTGTTGAAAATCCCGCTTCGCAAAGATACTCTGTAGCAAACGGAATTATAGTTGTCATAACTCGCTTTACAAGCAATGGGTAGGCTTCCAAACGCTTTAAAAATTAGGAGTAGTCAGCGGACCCCCAAAATATAACTCATGGACCCCTTAGGGGTTCATGAACCACAGGTTAAGAAACTCTGCGTTAAAGGATACTTTATTTTGTTTGGTTAAAACAATAGAAAAAATTTATAACATTAATTAAAACTATTTAATAATTTTGTATACCTAAAAACTAAACTTCTTAAATTTACAAAAAAAAAAAAAAAAATATTAATTTTTTAAGACTTTTTTACTGAGCAAATTTTCTAGAAATAGTTATTTCTTGCCTTAAAAAGTTTTTATTTCATACAACTTTCATCTTACTAATTCAACATAATTTCCTTAATTACAACTCTATACTGTATGCAGTTTTCCAATTTCCAGATAATTATAAGTAATAATAAGTATATGCTTAAACTAATTTAGTAGATGTTGGATTCTTTTTCATTGATATCTAATATGCTCATTTGAACTTTATTTATTTATAATTTCATGAAATTTTAAAAAAAATAATCTGTAAAAGTATGGAATAAACTTTCTGTGGGGGAAAAGGTTGCACGCTACTGTCTGCTCTCTATCCTTTTTTTCCACGCAGGCTGCACTAGAAGTCTGACTAGACTTTCTACGCTTTTGGGGGGAAATTTCTTTCAGTGGTACCTAAGTGTATGTTTTATGTATGATTCTTTGCCATAAAAATTTGAATTAAAGCTGTTTTTTCTTACCATTACACGCAAATGATTCAAAAGTTAGTATGAAATGCCGCTTTATCCCAGATCTCGTGTTGGTGCTTTTAAAATATTGGTAAAAAATACAAAAAATTACTGAAAGGTTTAGTTTTCAATTTACTATCACTCTATAAAATATTTTAAAAGAAGTATAGCAGATGGCAACCCTTCGTAATATTGTAAACGGACTAGAAGACCTTAATAATGAAATGAATTATCTGTTACAAAAAATTTTTTTCAAAATTTATTAAATATTTATTATTTTTCAATATAGAGTTAAAACCTATTACACAGCTATTGAAACTCTATGTTTAACCCTTTGACTACGAATTTTAAAAAAATGATTTTTTGTCCCGTTTATTATTCAAAAGGACAAAATAGGTCACTAATAAGGCAAATTTAGTATTTAGGATTTTTCTGACAATCGGTCATCAATTTAGATGTTGGGACATATATGTCCCGGCAGTACTTAATGGTGGGATACACATGTCCATTAGTAATTTTTAAGCATTTGTTGGTACAAATGAGTCCTATTAGTATTCAAAGGGTTAAGGTGTAAAACTCCTATTGTTAATTGTTAAAAATAATTACAATTCAGTGAGAAAAAAATATTCTAAAAACGTTTATTTAAAGTATTCCTCACACACTTTTTTAAAATTGGTCATTCTGACAAGTGAATTATATTGCAAAATAACAGTGCACCTCGATATGAGTTTTCATGCATGTGACAAA